CTGTCTGCCTGTCAGCTTTTTCGCAGGTTCTGCGAATATGTTCATTAAAGATGAGCTTATCATCAAGCCACACACCTAAGTACTTCACAAACTTCTTCGGAATAATCCGGATGCCGTTGAGTATAAATAAAATATCATCCCTTCGCCTAGGGCCCTTTATGATGATGGCCTCCGTTTTTGCCGACGCTATAACTAGACCATTAGCATCCATCTAGTTGCCAATGAGGGAGAGGGCCGAGTTGGCGTTCTGCATGAGGACTCCTTTTCTATCGGCACATACTACCAAAGCCAGATCATCTGCGTAAGCTGCTGCCGAGCAGCCAGTTGGAAGGTTCAGCCGTAGAACGGCATCGTTAAGCACGTTCCACAGGGTGGGCCCTAATATGGAACCCTGTGGAACGCCCTGGGACATATTTTGCTCATATCCTCCGCATGTCAGGAATCTTTCCGAGAGGTAAATTGCCATCAGATTCAAGAGGTACTCACTAATACCAGCTTCCTGTAAATTCCTGATTATTAGTTTCCATTTGGCGGTGTTGAAGGCATTCTTCACGTCTATGAGTATGATGGCGCCCCACGCGGTGTTTCTGTTGTTGGCAATGGAGATGACGTATTTGACTGCTTGTACGGTGGACCTTTTAGATCTAAAACCGAATTGTGTATCCGAGATGGCCCCTTTTTCTGACAGCTCTGCTTCCAGCCTTGCTTCCAGCAGCTGCTCGTATAGTTTTCCGGGTATGTCTATCAGACTAATTGGTCTCACTTTCTTATCCGCATCTGCTGGGTTTCCTTTCGGTATGAGAATAACTTTTGCTCTCTTCCATTCAGTGGGAAACTCCCCCTCACGCAGCAAGTTATTCAGGATGTTCAGTATTATTTCCGGGCTGATGCTCACCGCAAACTTAACAGCTTCTGGAAGGATTCCGTCTGGTCCCGGTGCTTTGTTCCCCTTCAATTTTTCGGCCGCGTTTATGATTTCCTGTACCGTGAATGGTTGTGGGGCTTCATGGGGTATATGCTGGTGCGGAGTGTGGGAGTTGTCGGTAGGAAATAGTTCCCTTATCTTAATTTCCTTGTCCCCTCGATTTATATCATAGGGGATTCTAAGGTGTTTCATAGCCCCTGTGACGATTTGGTATCCCTGCCCCCAAGGGTCTTACTCCAGACTGTTGCAGAGTAGATCTCAGTGTTTCCTCTGTGACGTTTTTATGGCCTTCCTGAGGAGCTTTCTATTTTCTTTGTAATCATTCTCCAGTTCTTCGATTGCATTGATATTCTCATGCCTGCCTCTTGCCCTGTTCAGTAGCCTCTTGGATCTGCTGCACGTATTTCTGAGGTGTGCAATTTTCGCGTTCCACCATACGGGCTGCATTCTGCGAGGTCCACCAGTTCTCCTGTCCGTGCTCAAAGTTTGAGCGTCCTTTATGGCCCTGACTAGGCTTTTCGTATCGCAGACTCCATTGGCCGCCACTTGGAAGGCATCCCTGAAGGTGTTTGCTTGTGGTAGCGTCCTTTTCATCCACTCCCTTTTGGGTGCTGCGTTTTCTTTCCTAACCTCGAAGAAAATGTATCTATGCAGGCTGAGGCTTTCTATGGTAGATACTCCCCAGCATTTAATTCTTCTACTAATCTCCTGTGTGGATATGGTAATGTCTATGAAGGATTTTTGCGCTCGTCTGGTAAAAGCTGTGATTCTTCCTTCGTTTACCACAACCATGTTCAGAGCTTGTATCCACTCCTCCAGGTGGTTCCCTCTTTCGTCCGTTATGGCTGACTTCCATGTCGTGGATTTGGCATTAAAGTCTCCTGCCACTACTGCCTCGGTATTAGAGTTTATGACTTGCTGCATTATTTCATCCAGAGTGTTCTTGTACTGTTCTAACGAAATATTTGGGGATATGTAACAGCTGTACAAAGTCCAGTTCTCGGAAAGGACACAGACATAGCCCGGCCCTGCACGATGTGAAACCACTCCACAACCAGGATTTGCGCAGTAAACCGCACAACTGCCACTTGTGTCCTGTATCCATCTCGTGTATTTTGCAATCAATCTATTATTTGGGTCCTGTACCAGGGCGATGTCAATCCCCTCCTCTTCAATTGTCCTTGTCAGGAGATGGTGTGCCGCTCCCCTTCGATCCATGTTAAACTGCACAATCTTCACTGCTATTACGATGTAGTGTAACCTGCGTCTTGTTTACTCTTTCCCTATCCATCGTTTGTGTTGCAGCAGAGAAAGGAGTTCTTTCTTCCGGAAAGTTCCCACGGGTTACTATCTGTGGCGGGAAGACCTCGTCGCCTGTGTTGGACCTGTATCTACTCCTGGGTCCCATTTTTCTCCGGGCCTCCTTTAGGTCCTCTTTGAACTGAGGGCAGCTCATACTACCTGCTTTATGTCCTCTAGCGTCGCACACTGGGCAGTATTCCTCTCTGGTGCAGTTTTGGGCTTCATGTTCTGCTTCGCCGCATTTGTAGCAGTTATTTGTTCTGTCTGGACCATTGCAGGTCTCCTTCTTGTGATCGAGGCTCCAACACCTGCTACACTTGGGCACCACAACTCTCTTCTCCACCTTGCACCTAACCAGTCCTATTCTCACCTCCCCCTTCTGGCTCAGTTTATTCGCCTTGTCCCTCGGGAGGGTTACCGTTATGGCGGCTGTGCCGTCTTGTAGCTGTCTTAATGCGCTTAGCCTATAGTCTTCCGTGTTCTGTCCTGTTTCTCTGCTTATGGCCTCTTTTATATCTTCTGTGCTCACGTCTCCAGCCATTCCTCTGATATGGAAAGTTTCCATCGTTCCGGCCTCCCCCAGCTTCTTAGTCTTCAGTGTGCCTTCTTGTTCTAATGCCCTTCTTATTTCTTTCAATGCATCTTGATCCTTGTCCATTGTTAAGAGAAGGTTTCCATCTCTGGTTTTCCTTAGTCCTCTTATTGCCCGAGCTTCCTCAGAGCTGCCTACTGCATTTTTCACTGAGCCGAGTATATCTCTGTACGATTTTCCTTCGTCGCTTATGATGACACCGTAGTTGTTAGCCCCTCGGCTCCCCCTCTTATAACTTCCTGTCGTAAATATTTTCACCGCCGTATTCCCTCCGTGGAATATGGTCTCTTACATTTTCCTTAGCGACTCCAAGGGTATTCCTTTGAGATGGTGTAAGCATACTCTGGCGTCCGCCAGGGTTTCCTGCTTCACCATCTTCAGTTTTTCCCATATGTCTATGGGGGTTCCGTCGTAGGCGATTTTCATAATTTTTCTGCTCGTGGTGTTGCCAGTTCCTCTCACTCGTGTCGTCTGCTCGAGTATTTCTACTTCCCCATCCAGTGTGGTAAGCTCCGGGAACTTGTCTCTATACAGCTTCTGCACGCTGGCCTTCATTTCTTGGTCATCCGGTTCTACGATGACGACATTGACTACGTCATCCTCCGTATCCAAAGGGTTGCCAGTGGTGATTGTCGAGTTTGTGTATACAGTATTTTCCCATCTCAGCTTCTCTATCCTCCTGAACTCTTCGTATTCGGTCGTGTGTTTCAGATCCTCCGGGGAGGTGAGCCTCGATGCCAGGCACGTGCAAGAACATGTACAGTTTCCTTTTGGCCCCGGCCCCTGGATTAGGCCCGCCGGAATCTCTGGGGCGTCAATCTCGGTTGGTTCTGTTTGAGTGGCTATCGAGCTTCCTTTCTTTCTTGACTCGGTCTTCTCCTGAAAGACTCCTTCTGGCCATGGCTCTTCCTGCATTTCATCTGAATGAGGTGTGAGCGTCCTGTCTACCTCTCCTGCGTTCGCCATAGCGCCTAGCCATTTTTCGTATTTGGCGAACATCACTTCCGTGATGGACCTTATTTCTGAGACCATCTTCTTTACCTCTATTTTAGTATTCTTGTTGCCTAGGGCGATGCTTTCTAGGGTCTTGCTGGTGTCTCTCAACTTCTTAAAGTTTACGCCCATGTCTAGGGGAGTGCTTCCTCCGTGTGGACTACTCAGCGCCTTCTTCCTTTTCCTTGGATTTCTTGCAATGGTCCAGTTATCCCTATCTTCCTCTGACGCAGCAGCTTCCTTCCGGTTTCCCGTTGCAATCGTGAGGTCGTAGGCCGGGCTCGTGAGACATTCCTCAAGGAACGATTCCGCTTCCGACCCGCTTTCGCTGGTATTCCTCCCCTCCTTCTCGATTGGCGAATAGAACATTTCCGTTTCTTCTTTTCTGCCTAAATTCCTATTGTCTTTCACTGGAGATCTGCCTAGAGAAGATCTCCTCACCGTTGGGTCTTTCACCCCCCTCCCACTTGTATACCTGTTTCTCTGGTTCCATCTCTTTCTTTTCGTTTTTGGTTCGTGTTTGATCCATATTAAGTCCCACGAGAAGCTAGGGAAAGTCTGTCCACCCTTGCAGAGCCCCGCATGCAAGGGTAAGGCATCTTCCCCGTCGGGTTGCCTGGTCCGGTGGGCATCGTTCGCGACACACTATCTCATCCCTGTGCCATGCACCCCGTCGGCACGATGGAGCTACACCTTAGGGTTGGGAGACGCGGTAGCCAAAGAGTTGGCCAAGCGGAGAAAGGCACAGCCGCCTCCCCTGTGCCCGTGAGAGTGAATTCAATAAGATAGGCAGGAAAAGACAGGAGAAAGTATAGGAGAGAATGTGCCGAGGTAGGCGGAAGAAGAAAGAAGAAGATGTATTGGAACCTCACCTAAGACTAGTTGAAGAAGCTAGACGTTCAGCTAGGATTTTCAGGAGTCGCCGCCTCCTACACTCATCATAATGAGCCCTTCCAGAGTTCCTTTTATCGAGGTTGACTCCTCTAGATCCGTAATGTTCAGTAAGAGACAGGCCGACCTCGAGTAGGGTGTGCTTCGAACGAGCACTCATTACGGTCTTGCTAGTGCAGAGGCTTTTTTTTGCGCATGACACTAGCCTGGGAACAAACCCTCCGGCCCAACCTAACCTAACCTAACCTAACCTAACCTTACCTAACCTAACCTTTTTTTTTCTGGGGGGGAAACCGCATGGCGCCGAGAAGCTTAGGCTCTATCGCTCTCGGCAGTGTCGGGCGCTACTCCGACTAAAACCCCCCCTTGTCTCCCTGCCTGGTATCCTGGAATCGTCGTCAGACATACATCACGGATACCAAGTTGCCAGCTATTAAGGCTCATCCTATATGCATTATCTTCTCATCTGCTTCTTTCTTCTTCATGATCTTCCTCACTGTCTCATGTATCTTGTCCCATTGTACTTTCGACTTCAGCATTTCTGCCACCATGTTATCTGGGGAGAGGTCCGTTTCTATATCTATTGTCAATTCCAGGCGTTTCCTTTCCCACCTCGGGCAGTGAAACAAAGTATGCTCCGGTGTGTCCTCGTCCACCCGGCAGTATTGACAGTTCGCATCCTCGGTCTTTCCGATTTTTCTAGTGAAAGTGCCACAAGAACCATGCCCAGTCAACGCCTCAAGTCGGGAATCAAGCGCTTGGTCCATTGCCCTGTTTCCTCATGTTCGGCCCATTCCTGCTGCCACAAGTCCAGGGTTCTTACCCCCACTCTGTTTCTTGTTGCCTCCAAGTGCCCATCTACTTCTGCGTACAGGTTGTATCTCTCTATAGCTAACAGATGAATGGGGGGGGGGTTGCCCGCCACCACCTGTACCGCTTTGGTAGATACCGTACGGTAAGCGCTCACTATTCGTAGCAGCATTTTCCGCTGGACTGCTTCCATCTTTTTCCTATACATACCCACCCTCATAGCTCAATGCCAGATGGGCCCTGCGTAGAGGAGAATTGAGTTCGCCACGCTACCGATTACTGCCCTCTTGGAGCTGCTAGGTCCTCTGATATTCGGCATGAGTCTTGTCAGCGCCGCTATACTATTCTCAGCTTTCTTCGTGGCTCTCCTAACGTGAGGGCCAAAGGTTTGAAGATCGTCCAACACCACTCCCAAATATAAAATACTTCTAGCCGGTGTAATAACTTCGTTACCGATCCTGAATTCGATACCTCTCCTGCTTCGTGGTCTTCTGATTATCAGGACTTCCGTTTTTTCCGCGGCTAGCTCTAACTGGTGCTCCTCCAGCCAGGCTCCTACTCTTCTGATGGCCTCCTCCATACGCGTCACCATGTCCTCCTTGGTTTGTGCAGTAACCAGAAGGGCCAGGTCATCCGCATAAACGATGGTCCTTGTGCCATCGCCCAGCTCGATCCTCAGAATGCCATCGTACAAGATATTCCATAGCTCCGGCCCCAGCACTGATCCCTGTGGAACTCCTGCAGTCACTGTCAGTACTTCTTCTCGATGATTTTCATCAGATAGTTAGGTATATTCCTTCTTATCAATTCCTCAATAATCAGCCTCCACGACGCCGTATTGAAGGCGTTTTTAATATCCAATGTGGCTATTGCACACCATCTGTTTCCACGATCTCTAGCAACCTCCATCACAGCAGCCACTGCCCCAATAGAGGAGTGACCTTTTCTGAAACCGTGTTGGTTCACTGAAAGTCCTCCGCTTGCCTCCACTGCTTCCTTCAGTCTGCCTTTCAGTATACCCTCATATAGCTTACTGGCCGCGTCTAGAAGGCATAGTGGTCGATGCGCTCTAGGGTCGTCTATCTCCAGGTCTCTCTTTCCTTTGGGTATTAGCACCAGTCGGGCTCTCCTTCATTATTCTGGGAATTCCCGCCTCCTCAACATGCCGTTCATGAACTGAAGCATCCAGCTCGGGTTGGACTTCACCGCCGCTTTGATGGCCTCGGCTGGTACCCCGTCGGGGCCTGGCGCCTTCTTATTTTTCATGTGCTCCGCAACGTCCAAGAGTTCAGCTTCCGTAACGGGAATCACCTCTTCCTCCTCTTCCGCCCCTGGAATCGCTGTTCTCCTTTCTTCTACTGTCGGAAAGAGCACCTCCGCTATTTTCTTCTTGGCAGCTTGCGTGAGGTCAGCTGGGCTAAGGCACGAGAAACAGCCAGTTACTACTTTATAGCCGTCTTCCCATATATTATTCTCCAATTCATCACGCAGTTTTTCCCACTGGTCTTTTTTAGACCGCTGTATCAGTTTTCTAAGGGTAGCTCTCTCTGTTCTGTTTTGTTCTTCCAGTTCTGCGTTCTCCTCTTCCGTAAGTGTCCTGCGTCTCAATTGTCTGCTGGTGCGTCTTCTCAGCCAGGTACATTCTCGATGCTTTGCCTCGATCTGCACACTCCACCAGAACCTAACCTAACCTAACCTTTTTTTTTTTTTTTTTTTTTTTTTTTTTTTTTTTTTTTTTTTTTTTGTGAGGGGGAAACCGCTTGTCACCGGGACCTTAGAGTCTATCGCTCCCGGTAGTGTCGGGCGCTACTCCGACTAAACCCCCCCCCTTCTTCTCCGCCAGATGTCCTGGAAACGTCGCTAGACATGCATCTCGGACATCAGGCTGTCGATCTTCCTTCTTGTTCCTTAGTTCCGTAAAACCCTCTCGTCAGCTTCTTTTTTTTTCATGATCATCTTCACATTCTCATGAATCTTAGCCCACTTCTCTTCTGACTCCGTCATCTCGCCAACCATGTTTTCTGGAGAGAGCTCCGTCTCCAGCTGCCGGGTTAATTCCAAACGTTCTCTTTCCCATCTCGGGCAGTGAAACAACGTATGCTCTGGCGAGTCCTCGTCCGTTCCACAGTATTGACACCTTGCGTGATCGGTCTTCTGTATTCTTCTGGTGAATGTACCAAAGGATCCGTGTCCGGTCAAAGCCTGGGTGAGGAAGTAGTCAGTTTTTCTCCAAGGATATTCTACCCACTTTCTCAGTTCCGGGATCAGTCGCTTGGTCCATTGCCCCGTCTCCTCGTTGTCCGTCCATTCCTGTTGCCACGTTTCCAGAGTTCGGCTCCTCGCCCTCTTTCTTGCTGCCTCCAAGTGCCCTTCTTCCTCTACATGCAGGATATATCTCTCTTTGGCCAGTAAGTGGATAGGGGGAGTGCCCGCCAACATCTGAATCGCTGTCGTAGAGACTGTACGGTAGGCGCTCACCATGCGCAGCAACATCTTACGCTGGACTGCTTCCATCCTTCTCCTGTACGTACCAACCCTCATGGCATCGTGCCATATGGGTGCCGCATACAGGAGAATTGACGTAACCGCGCTGTTGAGCACGGCTCTCTTGCCACTGCTCGGGCCTCGAATATTGGGCATTAGCCTTGCCAGCGTGGCCGCGGCATTTTCCCCTTTTTCCACCGCCCTATTGGCGTGTGCTCCAAATGTTTGGAGGTCATCCAGCACTACCCCTAAGTAAAGGATACTTCTGGATGGTGATATGACCTCGTTGCCAACCCTAAACGTGATACCCCTTTTGTTCCGTGGTCCTCTTATTATCAGAGCTTCTGTCTTCTCCGCGGCCAGCTCTAGATGGTGCTCCTGCAACCATATCCCCGCTCTTCTGATGGCCTCCTCCATTCTGGATATCATGTCCTCTTTGGTATGTGCGACAGCCACGATAGCCAGGTCATCAGCATAGGCAAAGGACTTAATGCAAGTGCCTAACTCGATCCTCAGTATACCGTCGTACAGGATATTCCACAGCTCCAGGCCTAGCACTGAGCCCTGTGGAACTCCCGCGGTTACTGTCATCACCTCCTCGCCGATCTTGATTTTCCGTCCAGTGAGGTACTGCTCGATGATCTTCACGAGATACTCAGGGACATTTCTTCGCATCAGTTCCTTGATAATCAACCTCCATGAGGCCATGTTGAAGGCGTTTCTTATATCTAGCGTGGCTATCGCACACCATTTATTTCCACGATCTTTGGCGACTTCCATCACCGCTGCCACGTCCCCAATGGTGGAGTGCTCTTTCCTGAAGCCATGCTGGTTCGGGGAGAGCCCTCCACTCGCCTCTATTGCTGCTCTCAGTCGGCCCTTCAGTATACCCTCGTACAATTTGCTGACCGCATTCAGGAGGCATAATGGTCGGTATGCCCTGGGATCATCCAT